GGCAGGAAAAAGTGACTATTTTGCTAATAGCGCCCCCCCCCTCACCACGTGAAGCCCAACAAAATCACCAAGCCCATCTTTAGCACACCTGCAGCAGTAGCCCAACAAAAGGGACAAGATCAGATCAAGATCGTTTGTTTTTCTTGCGTGCGATGCCTATCGATGATAGCCGTCTAGGGCAGTTCTTGACGAGCGCCAACCCTAAAAAAGTGTTCTTGACCAGCGGCGTTTCAATGAGCCTGAGCCGACGATCCTTGCGCGCAAGAGGGCGTGTATGTGCTGATGAGGGCCGAGGGCCATCCTTGCAAGGACGCGCGGCCGGCCGGCTGGCCGCGACCATATTGAGAAGCGGCGAGCAAGGAAAAGGGGGTTAAGGTTAGTCTCGTTAGTTATTCTATTAATCCATGCCTTTAGAACCTCACAATTCGAACTGTGGTTACTATATAAGAATGAAAGATTAATTAGGGAATATATCCCTTTACCGGTTTACCCATATGACAAGGTTTTGCATTGTTTATCACATCATGTACTGAAAGATTTAGATTAATTAACACATGAGTTGATTTTGCATTTTCTTTATGATAAATTTTGAGAAAAAAATTGAAATTGATCACAGAAGACACATGTTTTGATGAAGATTTAGGCTGTCTCCCTCACAAAAAAAAATGTAGATTGTCTTTGTATGTTTCTTTACGAGTCTCTACATTAGAGGCAAAATTTTGTCCGCCCCCCTATGTTTGAATCCTGGCTCCGTCTCTGAGATCAGATCCCCCAAAACAACAATTTCATATTGGTCGAACGCACAACGGCATACACACAAGCTCCGTTATTTCATTATTATTAGTTACAGCGCAATAACCCAAATATCATCTCCACAAACATACTACAGTTGGAAGGAAAATAAACCTCAAAGCTGATAAATGACACCGCTCATACACAAACAAACAGATTACAACTGACACAGACTAACAGATTACAACAACATCGGTACATGATAGCGAACGTCGAAAGCAAGGATCAACCACATCATTTTCGTTACCCGTCAAAAACTACTTCATTTTCAGAATCACAAAGCCTCCAAGCGCAGCCACGAAGACGATGGGCAGGAGGCCCAGCCACAGCATCGTCTTCCCGACGGCACCCCGTCCGACCACATCGCCTGACACCCAGAAGCCGGCCGACGCCTCGAGGAGCCCGAAGATCACCACGGCGACGAGGATGCCGTAGTACAGGAAGAAGGGTGCTCTGCCATGGTGGAGAAATATACCTCCGGGCGCTCTGGAGATGGCGAGGCAGAGCGCTGCGGCTGCCTCGAGGACGCCACAGGAGATGAGCGCACCCGGCAGCATCTCCGCGTCGCGGCAGGCGCCGGAGATCAAGGCGGCGAGGTTGATCAAGGACGCGAGGGAATCCATTGAACGTCTCGTGTGTGGGCTGTGGAGCTATGAGCGAGCTTGGCTTGAGGTTTGGAGCTAGGAAAAGGTGGGGATTATATAAGGAGGAGGAAGACGCGCGACAAAGTGGATAGAATTCAAACCCACTAGTATTATGTGACTTTTGCAGTCCTTGCCACAAGCCAGAACCGAAAACGAAAGAACCGAACCAAGCCATTTGGTTTCCCTTCCCAGGGCACTGGGTACTCTGTCGTGATCATCCGCGTACGTAAGCAACCAAGACGACTGAGAAACTTTCGTGTCACATTCCTTCTTTGATTTTTTTTTGCGTTTTCCTTCCTAGACTATTCTTTCGCTTTCGGAACTGCCATTTCTTACTCTCTCAAAAATTATTTCTCACCTGGTCGAGTTGCGTATCACCAAAATTACCAGTGTACAAATACGTTTATGCAACTTTAGATATTACTTTTCGCAAAAAAAACTTTAGATATTACTACTTTCACAACAAAAAAAAACTTTAGATATTACTAAGATCTTCACATCTCTAATCTCTAGATCAAAGTTGCTACTCCCTCCAATCCATTTTTATTATCGCAGCTTTAGTACAATGTAATATTTTCTTGCGCAGTTGCTATTTCTTAGTTGTTTTAAAAATTGTTTCTCAATCTATCGTGTTGGATACCATCAAGACTACAATTGCGCAAATAGGTCAATGCAACTTTAGGTATTAAAATGTGTACAGTTTTAATCTCAAGATCAACTTGCTAATGTTCTCTAAACTATGCAAGTGCTCAATTAACATTTAAATAAATATTAGTTGCTCAAGGTCTCGACCTACAAACAAGTATTATTCAGTTGACTGCAAATTTTCAAGGAGTACATTTTCCTGAAATAAACACAAGTTCATTGTAAGATCATTATAAATGTAGAAGTTTGGAGGTGAAAGGCGATCCACTAAAGTATTCTATATTATGGAACGGATGGAGTAAGGTAGATATTACCTGTTTATCAGCTGCCCACTTTTAAATATTTTGTGACATTTCTATTTTTTTAACTAACTGTAGTCATTTGCAAGGCATTGTCTGCATAAATAATACTATATGAACTAAATATTACACTTAAATTGCTCTTCCATTATCAAGGAAAACACTGCACCTAAATTATAGACCTACGAGTGCAATATTAGAAACTGGCCCGACTTATTGATTTATAAAACTAAACAAATCACATGTTACAAGCATAAGAAAATCTTAAGCTCATATATCGAACATCGTGTAACATGATAAACTGAGAGACATTGCCTAAAAAATTCAGACACATGCACATCCCAAGGAGAGCAAGAACATGAATATATTTTTTCAATAAAGAAATGCCACCCAACAAGAAGAGAGCGTCCGCAATTGTATATGTAGTCGTAGGCTTGTAGATTAAGTTTCATTCTTTTTTGAGGAGAAGGAAGTTTCATTCATTTACTTGGAGGCATTCAACGACAACGACCTGGCAGTGTCGGAGGCTGGAACCAGAACCGAACCGAATGAAACCAAAGCCGATGGTGCGCTCGGGAATTGTTTCTGGTTAAGGCGCTTGCCAAAGGTGATTGGTAGAAAGCGTGCCACCTGAGATACAATAGTCAACAACATCTTCACGCTGCGTGTGTAGTGGTGTAATAGTAAGTTATGTATAGATAGATATATGGAAATGGCGCAAGTAGATTTTTTGTTTAGGGGCGTTGTCACGCTGTGGGTCCGCCAGGCTGGGCATGATCGTCATCGTCACTCCATGTCGCGAAACCATGAACCATACCCGAACACATAAGTTTCCGGTTTTCCAACGTGGGCGTGCAAAAGATACAGCCGTGATATGTAATTGTTACTTTTTTTTAATGAAAGCACTGGTTACTATGTTCATTGCGATTAGAAGATAGAGTTACAGTCTTAGAGCATCTCCAACAGCCGCGCAACGAGCGGCGCGCTAAAAGACCGTTTAGCGCGTCGGAATCGTGAGTTTTTTGCGCGTTGCGGTGCACTGGCTCCAGCGGCCGCTACAAAATATAGCGCCCCTTAGCTGCTCCAGCAGGCGCTGCAAAAAACGGCGCACACGCTCATCTACAAACAACATATGCATTTCAAACAAAACCAAGAAGATCAAACACAAAAAAATTAAATCAATAATAAATTGTTCACTTTTATTACAACTCAAACAAATAGTTTATCTTCCAATACAACAAATAGTTCAACAATACAATATCAAACATACAAATCATCATGCTCTTTGTCGGCCATTCCATGCCCACCACTCCTCGATAAGATCCTTCTGAAGATCATCATGCGTTTTGACATGTCGAATGGCATGATAGGAGGTAACAAATCAGGCCACCCTCGCAGCCCTCCGCTGCACTCGCATAGGATGTCCCAAGAGCTCATACTGAGAGTAGTCTAAATCTTGGCCAATCTCATTCTCGATGATTATATTGTGTATGATCACACAAGCGTGCATGATGTATCAAAGCATCTTTTGATCCCAAAATCTAGCTGGTCCTCTCACAATAGCAATGTGGGCTTGCAAAATCCTAAAAGCTCTCTCCACATCTTTCCTAACCGCCGTCTGAGCATTGTGAAAATCTAGAATTTTCTTACCTTCCGGGTTTTTCAACGGCTTCACAAATATTTGCCACTTTGGGTAGATGTCATCCGCAAGATAGTAGCCATAGTTGTATATATGGCCATTTGCTACAAAATGCACAGGTGGCAATTCACCATTTGCAATCTTATTCATGAGTGGTGACCGATTAACAACGTTGATGTCATTCAAAGATCCATGCATTCCAAAAAAAGCATGCCAAATCCAAGTCTCTTGATCGGCCACGGCTTAAAGGATTATAGCGGAACCCTTTTTTGGCTGTGGAATTGCCCATGCCATGCCTTAGGAAGTTCTTCCAACTCCAATGCATGCAATCTATTGAGCCAAGCATACCTGTGAACCCGCGAGCTTTGTTCATCTCCAAAAGCCTTTCGGCATCTTCAGCATTGGGAGATCTCAAATACTTTGGGCCAAACACTTGCACAATTCCAACTACGAAGCGCTTGACACACATTGTCTGATTCAGGGCTCCGCAGACCCAAGAGGTTTGAACTCTGGGGCATGTGCGAAGAACTCAACCTCTCCGGCCAACCAACGCGATGCCATATAGCCTAGCTCGAGGAACAGGGAAGAAGATGAACACGGCAGTTTTACCCAGGTTTGGGCCGCCTTGTGGTGTAAGACCCTACTCCTGCTTTGTGGTGGATTTGCCTCACGAGGGGCTCAGGATGAACTAGTACATGGGAAGAACAACCTCACGAGGTCTGCTCTTGTGCGGGTGTGAGGTGATGAGGTGTGGATTCATCCCATCCCCCTCTTGGTGGTGGCTAACCTATATTTATAGTGGCCTCGGTCCTCTTACCTCAAAACAAGGTGGAAAGGGATCCCACAGTGGCCAATTTGAAGGGGGGCAAGTAGTACATCTTATCCTAACGAAAGGAGGTCTTCGTCTGCAAAGCTTCTGGTTGTGACGCTATAGTGGGCTCGACGATGACATCCTTCCTGCTGCCCTAGCGGCCTTGGTCTCGTTGCACGGAAATGGAAACCTTTGTCTGATTCCTCAGGACTCCGCGCCTGCGCTTGCCTCCTTAGCACCAAAGAGGAAACTTGCACTTTTGCGCCCACTGGCTCCCGCCTGGCCTTGGTCGTCATGGCTTGCATCACCCCAACCTCATGAGGTTGGGCACTTGCATAGAAATCTCCGCTCCTCAGGAGCAGCCTAGGGGAGTCCACTCCCTCAGGAGGTCTTGGCATCGCCCACCTCTCAAGGCTTGACCCCTCGCGAGGGTCTTGCCTTGTTGGTGTCGTAGATGGGCCATACCAGGCCGCCGATGGAGCCATGCCCTGGGCCGCAGGCAGGAAAGTCTGGGTACCCTGGTTCCCAGAACACCGACAGTAGCCCCCGGGCCCAAGGTGCGCTCAGACTTGGCTTCGAGGCGAAGCCAAAGGGCAAGGGCGAAGCGCCGCGGGCCCCAACCGCCTGCAGACCGAGACGACACATGGCGCTTGATGGGACGTGGGCGTCTCCACTTCCCCACACCACCTCGGTAACCGCCAGATGCGACAACTGCCTGCTGCATGCAGGAAGGCCATTATTGCTCTGAACGTGAGAGGCCGGCGATTAGCCTTCCTCCGGCTATAAATGGGAGAAGGGGCGGAGCCCCCAGTTCATCGTCATCCTCTCGCCTCTTGCTTCACCTTCTTCTTCGTCCTGCCATTTTGCCAGAGCGTCCATGGCGCCAGTAAGGAGGTTCTCCACCGCGAAAAACGGAACACATGAGATGCTCCCGCCAAAGAAGAGGCGTGATTGCTCTCGCGATGCCACCGCGGCGCCCATGGCAACGCGACCTTGGTACGAACGCGCTCCGTCGGGCTTCCCGGTCCGCGCGTACGCTCGAGCGCATAGCCCTGCCCGTGGGAGCAGCCGCGGGTACCGCAAGGAATAGAGTCGTGTAAGAGAACAAGCGGTGGCTGCACGGCCACCCCGCCTGCAGGCCCATGCCGAAGGCACGGCCCGCGAGTTTGTGGTGTGTGCGGTAATGCCGCCGCAGAGGTGGATCCGGCTCCCGCGGAGTTTTTTTTTCTGTTCTATGTTGTTCTCTATCTTTAGTTATGGATGTGGAGCACGAAATACCAAAAATATTAGTTGTACTTTCTACTCATGGAGAGGGGAACCTCCAAAAACCCTCGATGCTGGTTATGTGGAAAACATTAAATACTACTTCGATAATCCTGATAAATTCCCATTCAACTTGATAATGTGAGATACTTGGGTTCACCAGGAATACTTTAGGTATTATCACTTGTCTCAAAAAGGGAAACACTTATGGGATCAAATTAATTGCATTGGTATGCTTGTAATTTATGCTTAAGATATGATTGTACTTGTTGCTCTAAGATGGAGGCTACACACCTCCTCTTTCAATGTGAATTTAATGATA